CTTCCTTCCTTCCTTCCTTCCTTCCTTCCTTCGATCTTTTTGAGACAGGGTCTCCCTGTAGCCCCAGCTGTCCTGGAACTATGTAGACCAGGCTGGCCTCGAACTCACAAAGATCTGCCTGCCTCTGCCTCTCAAGTGCTGGGATTAAAGGCATGTGCCACCATGCCTGGCCTTTTCTTTCTTTTTTCTTTATGCATGCACACCATTGTGCATGCATGGAGGTTAGACGCTAACAAGACAGCTTGGGGGAGCCTGCTTTTTCCTTCCAACATGTGGGTCTGGTGATCCACCTGCCTCTGCCTCCTGAGGGCTTGGATTAAAAGTGCGCATCACCAAACCAGGCGTTTCCCTCCAGTCTTTTTTTAAAAATGGTTTTATGGTTTATAAGTTCTCTCAGAAATTGCACCATCAGGGCAGATCACATCACCAGATTCATTCACCAGTCTTTTACTTGTCTTGCTTTTCCCCAACACCAGCTTTGGCATTTGCAGTCCCCCTTATCTTCTTCCCTCTGCTCTTGAGTTCCTTTCACTGTGTTCTTGAGGTCTTTTCCTTCTGATACAGGCCACGTCTTGCAAGTCTGTGTTTGGGCTTGTTTGTCTTTGAATAAGCTGAGGATCATAAATGTTGTCAAAGCTAGTTGTCTTGGGTTTTGAATCCAAATACAAAGATGACATTTGGTGTGGTTTTGTACATTTTGGCTGGATTTTCCCAAATTTGTGTTCAGCATGGTTGCCAAGGGTGAAGGACACTGGTACCTCTTGTTTCCTCTAAAGTAGATGGTTGGTCATGAACTTCCCTGGCTAGATAGTTACATAGCATGTCATTCAAGATGGTGGTCACCATCCTCTCTAGCCTTTTAATGATGTTGTTCAATTGTCTTTGTACTTATATGGTTTTAGCCAAGGAATCCTTTCTTCCACTTGTATTACATCATTATCTCAGCATGGAACACTTCATGAATTTGCATGCTAGCTGTGTACAGGGGCCATGCTAATCTTCACTGTATTGATTCAATACTAATATAAAGCAAGCATTCAATTTTCCTCTTCGTCATTGCTTTACAGAAAAATGATTACATGTGTTGGTATGGTATTATCAGTATTGATTCTGCTTGGAGTTTATTGAATTTATTGGCTATGTAGATTATACTTCTCTCTGTAATTAGGATGAGACTTTAAAACTGACTCCCAGTCCCAGGCATTTGTAGTTCTTTTGACTCAAACTGGAGAAACAGGTCACTACTGTCATTATTCTTCATTTTTATATCATGTATGAGTAACATTCCTCTACTGCTGTTGCTGCTTCTGGGCACTTTCAGGCACTATTGCTATGGTTAGGGAAAAACATGTGTGCCACAGTGAGAAGAGACAACAGCCCTCAACAACCCAGATGTCTTTCAAAAGGGAAATGGATAAAGAGATTATATTATTGAAATGCAATAGCATGAATGACCCGCCAAAGAATCACACTGGGTTAAAGAAACCAGTCTCAGAAGATATACAGTGTATTATTATATTGTGAAATAGCAGAACTGTAGCAATGCAGAACAGATTGATGGCTGGCAGCGGTTAGGGGATGGGGCAGAAGGTAGATGTGGATATAAAGAAGTAGCATGAGGGAGTCTTGCAATGATAGAGCAATTCTATAATTTGTGGTACAGTCACACAAACCCATATGTTATAAAACTGCAGATTCATACATAAATACATAGTACCACATTAAAACCTTCATAACTGGGAACACTGAATTTTCTTAAAAAGAAACATGTGAAAACATCCATTACCTAAGTCACAGTTGGACAGACTTTCTCTTGTCAAATCAATAACAAAATCAAGTTTCTTCTCTACAGCCTGAAAAGTTGTTGTAAAAAAATTAAAATTTTTTTAAACAACAGAAAATGTTTTCGAAGTATGAAAAACATTTTTTTTCAGTGCTGAGGATTGAACCTTGGCTTTGTTCGTGCTCACAAGTGCTCTTAACACTAAGCTACACTCCTAGCTCTAAATCATCAGCTAGAAGCTAGAGACTGAAATTTAACTCTATTATAAGACTGCACAGTGTTTGAGAATGTGACTAAGAATCTCGATGAATTGGTAAATATGTGTAGTTGTAAAATATACTTAGTTGTTTGCTTTTCAGAGTGCAAGCTAGACTGGAACCTTGTTAGGCAAAATACTCCCATATAATTCATGTCAAACACACACACAAAAGCTAAAGGAGGGGTACAGAAAGTACAATTCACTGGAGACCCCAAACCCATTTCCGGCAAACCTAGATAAAGACTGAAGGAAAAAACTCAATCACCCAACATTGCTGCAACACTGGAGTTCCCTGAACTAATGTTCAAATGAACAGTACTCAGGGACAGCAATTGTTACCCACCCCAACTGCAATTACAGTATTGGGTGAATCACTGGCATTTCTTGGTATATTTTTCCCAATTTCTGGAAGAAAATGAATTTAAAAAAAAAGAACATAACTGATTAAGCTTATTAAACTGTTAAGCATGGTCTTTGTAATATGAGGATGCTGAAAAATAATGATGGGAATGCAAATTCATTATTTAATAAAAAGTAACTAAACATATCCCCCAAACTGACAAGCTAGTTAAAAAAAATATTTCAGATTAAAATAAATGTTTTCTTTCCGTAATTTTACAAGGTTCCACTAGCTCCTTTTCTGCACTATCTGACATTATTTTAGCATTTAAAAATGTAACATTTTGACGGGCATGTGCCACCCAGCACTAGAAAGGCAGAAGCTGGAAGATCTCTGGGAGATTGAAGCCAGCATGCTTCATAGTGAGTTCCAGGCCAGCTGTAACGACAGGAAAACCTTGTCTCAAAAAAGACACCCCCAAAAAAGTAACATTAAGCAACATTTTGTTATTCACAGTATCTTTAAATAGAGAAGTAGCTGAGGAGTGGTCTTCCTAGAATGTGCAGTGTTCTGCTTCCCCAGAGCTGCTAATGTAAGTATCTTTATGTGGAAGAAAGCCTTCCAAAATGAAGATGCAATCACACCAATAGAGTGAAACGAGACATGAACATAGGGAATTCAGGATAAGAAACTGTGGGGCAAGTAAGATTTTTTTTTTTTTTTGAGACAGGGTCTCCTTGTAGCCCAAGCTGGTCTGGAACTTAACTATGGAGAGCAGGCTGGCTGGAACTCATAGAGATCCACCTGCTTCTGCCTACCGAGCACTGGAATTAAGGGCATGTGTCATCATACCCAAGATGTTTATTTTAAAGGTGAGTAAATATTACTTAAGTGAAAGCTGCAAGTTTTTTTGTTTTTGTTTTTTAAAACAAAACTAGGTAAGATGGCACATAGTTGTAACTCTAGCACTTAGGAAGTAGAGGTAGAAGGATCAGAAATTCAACGTCTCTATAGCCTTAGCTATAGATAAAGTTCAAGATTTGGCTCCATGAGATGTCAAAGAGGGTGGGGAAGACACCTTTAAGCTGAGCTCTGCTAAAACAGTCTATCTCAGGCCAGGCGTGGTGACGCAAGCCTTTAATCCCAGCACTTGGGAGGCAGAGGCAGGTGGATCTCTGTGAGTTCAATGCCAGCCCGGTCTACAGAGTTCCAGGCCAGCTGGGGCTACAGGGAGACCCTGTCTCAATAAAAAAGACCAAAAATAAAAGAACATATAGGCAAACCACTACCACCACAAAAAAAAAAGGCCACGACAAACATTAAAATTAACATAACTGAAAATATAGGTTGTAAAATTAGATAAACACAGTAAAGAAACAAAAGTCCTTGCTGGGCGTGGTGGTGCACGCCTTTGATCTCAGCACTTGGGAGGCAGAGACAGGCGGATCTTTGTGAGTTTGAAGCCAGCCTGGTCTACTTAGTGAGTTCCAGGACAGCTGGGACTACAAGGAGCAAAAAGAGGCTTTTCAAAAAAAAAAAAAAAAAAAAAAAAAAAAAGAAAAAAAAAAGAAAAAAAAAAGAAGCAAAAGTCCTTAAGTTGATACAAAATTTAAAGAAAATGTCAATTTTATTAGGGATTCATCGATTTTATTTAGGTATTATTAATCATGGATACAAAGTAGAACATTTTTCTGCAATTTTGTACTTATATATTTTATTATTTTTTATTTTATGTGTATTGCCTGTATGTGTGTTAAGTGCATCCATGTCATGCAAAGTCCTCGGGGAGTCAGAAGAGGGCATTGGATTCCCCTGAAACTGGACAACTGTTAGCTACCATGTGGGGGTGGCTGGGAATTAAACCCAGGTCCTCTACAAGAGTAGCCAGTGCTCTTAACTGCTAAGCCATCTCTCCAGCCCCCAATTTTGCACTTTGTTAGAAGATATTTGGCCTAGAGAGTTTAGCACCAGAGCTTGGTTCCTAGCACCCAAGTCAGGTGTGCCAGGGCACAGATGTCCTCTACCAGCCTGCACATGCACCCAAATGTGACACAGATTCACACAGATAAACAAATACATAAAAATAAAAAATAAAAAAATATAATGTTCATTATTTAAGCTTTCTAATTTGATAGACCATATTCTAATCAAGTTAAAATACCTGTTGGATTTGATGCAATCGGACTTGTCGAATTAGGATTTTTCATCAACATAGCATCATCAGTGTTACTAAAATGATAAAAAAAAGTTAAAAACAAAAATAAGCATACATTATCAGACTAAAATCTGCAGTTAATAGAATTCCTCTATTTTAACATTTCACAATGTTCTTATTTATTCAAGGGGGCACCCAGAGGTCAGAAGACAAGAATTGATTCTTTCCTTTGACCATGTGAGTTCCAGGGATCAAACTCAGGTGGCCATGTTCAATAGCAAGCACCTTTACCCTCTGAGCCATCTTACCAGCCCTCATAACATGTTTTAATTGAACAACCATGGGAGAGGATATAAAAATCAATATAAGAAAGCACATGTACTCTATTAAATTATCTTGGCATTTTTCTTGCAAACCAATAGACTACACATGTACACCTTACTTGTACATTGATATTATCCCAATAAAAATATAGCAGATATTTAAAAAAATATTTATTTTTTCTTTTATGTGTATGCATGTATTGCCTGCATGTAGGTAAGTGTATCCATGTTGTGCAATGCCCGTGGAGGACAGAAGAGGCTCTTGGATCCCCTGGAACTGGATTTATGGACAGTTGTTAAAATGCCAAGATAATTTAATAGAGAAAAGATTCTCTTTTCAAAAAATATTGCTTGGAATAACTAGATGGAAAAAGTGGTGGTGCATGCACTTGGGAAGTGAAGGCAGGAGGAACAAGAGTTCCAGGGCATTCTTAGCTACATAGTGAGAACTTGAGACCCTTTCTGCATACCTCTCCTATGCCTGTCTTAATCATTACAGCACAACAGCAAAAAATGAAAGTCTGGGAACCTTGTTTTTCTTTTGTAATATTAGTAATCATCTTCTAGATCTGTTTTCAGTTTTTCATCAGTTTGCTACTTTCTACAAAAATGTATGCTAGGGGCTGGAGAGATGGCTCAATGGTTAAGAACACTGACTGTTCTTGCAGAAGACCTGGGTTCGAATCCTATCACCCACATGGCAGCTAACAACTGAGTCAGGCATGGTGACACATACCTTTAATCCCAGCACTCAGGAGGCAGAGACAGGCAGATCCCTGTGAGATCCAGGCAAGCCTCATCTATACAGTTCCAGGTCAGCTGCGGCTACAGGGAGACCCTACCTCAAACTGCCCTCCCCCACCCTCAAATACCCAAATCCTGGTTTCTATAAGTCCACAAGCAAGATACAGTATAGCTCCTCTCTTATGAGAGCTCCTCTCTTAGGAGGCTAACATGGGTCACAATGTCCTGAAGATTTGACCAGGTCTAGAAGATATGCATCCAAAATGGCTCATTCACATAGCTGGTAACAGGATACCCACTGCTTGATAATCCCTATGACATGGTGCTACTTTGCCCCAAGAGCAAGCCATCTATGAGAGAGCAAGTAGTCTATGCTGTCTTTTATGAAGTATTCACAAAATGTCACTTTTGCTATTTCCAATTTATTAGAAGTGAGTCACTAAGTTCATTAAAAAGGAAAGTAAGCTCCTTTTAAAAGGAGTAGCAAAACAATCACCATATTTAAATTTCACAATAGGTATTCAGTCTCCCCATCACCTTTCATAGTATAGGGTGACTTCATTTAATAGAAACATTGTAATTTAGCATCTTTCCCTTAAAAAATAGCTAAGATTAACACAAAAAATGAGCAATTCTATTGAGAGAAAACAAAAACAAAAAAAGGAAACAGAAAAAGCTCAAAAGTGACCCAGATAAATGGGGCGTGTTAGTGCTGGGACTATAGGAAGACCCTGTTTCAAAAAGACAAAAAGTGAACCAGATAGATTTTTCAGAAACTGTGACTAAAAAATGTTCAATGCATAGATTGTTAAAAGAGAAAGAGCTTCAAGGAAGAACTTGAATATATAAAACTAATCTTAAAATACTTAGTATTATAAGATTTCTTCATTCAAACCATAAACACAGTACATTTTTCCACTTAATTATTTAATACCTCTCTTTTATAAACCAGGCCTGGTGGCAAAGGCTGGTAATCCCAGACACTCAGGAAACTGAGGTAGGAGGAGCCCAAATTCAAAGCCTGCCTGGGGCTATGGACACAGTTCAAGGCCAGCCTAGGCAACTTAATGAGACCCTATCTCAAGACAAGAGGAGGAGGACTGGGGATATAGCTTAGGATTTCCTACATATTCACCTTAATCACCCAGGAACAATGACAAAATCACTCCTTTGTACTAATCTTTTTTAAAAGTTTTTTTAGCATTATTTTAAATTGTGTGATGGGGTACCTCACGACTGACCATAGCTATGCCATGTTACAGCCCTAACTGGCCCCTAGCAACTGAAACTAGAGGCAGATAATTCAGTGGGAATAAAAAAAGTTTGACCCAGCTGAACCAAGGTATGGTTTAACAGGTCGGTGTACATCTGGTTGCTCCTGCTAAGGGCAGATGTATGGCTTCTGTACTTTCCACTTGGCTTGCTCTTGCAGAATAGAAATTGTTTTCTTGCAGAATAGAAACTGTTAGGGGGATTTTCCATCCCTAAGCTTGGGAACTTAAACTTTTCACCCCTGAATGTGGTTATTCTGTATAAAAGCTCACCCTAAGAATGGCTTGGGGCTGCACTTGGGACCACAATGCCCAGTGTAGTTGCCAGCCAGCTAAAGAGACTTTCTATTGGCTATTTTCTGTGTCTGAGTGGTCTTCTCTGGTGAGACAACCTCACAATATTTACATATGTATGTCTGTGTACATGTATGTACACATGAGTATGGGTGCCTGTGAACTCCAGAAAAGGGCTTGTCAGACCCTTTGGAGCTAGAGTTACAGACAGTTGTGAGCAATGTAATGTGGGTGTCAGGAATTGAACTCTTCTGCTGGAAGAGCAAAACATACTCTTAACCACTGAACCATCATCTCTCCAGCCCTGGTACTAATAATACCTTTTATTTTTCCTTTTCTTAAAAATTTTATCCTGTTGTGTAGCTAATTCCCACTATAATATAAAAGTGTTCGACACCAAGCATTTCTCTTGTATCTCAAAGCAAAGAGTTTGAATGACTATTAGATTTATTTTAAAAGTTTTGTAGATATTCTACTAGATTAAGTTATGACCTATTCCAAGTTTGCCAATAATTTGTTTCAGTTATAAATAGACATTTTGTTAATTCTTGCATCTATTGTGAGCTGATAATTATTTTTCTTTCTGGAAAATTTCATTAATCAATTTTGTATTGTTAAGCTAATACTGCACCACTAAGATACAATCAACTTATAGATTTTTCTATTTTAACACTAATTTTAGCAAAGTTCATTTCTCATTAAAATAAACTGAACTGGGACTGAAGGGATGGTTCAGTGGTTAAGAGCACTAGTTGCTCTTGTGGAGAACCTAGGTTTGGTTCCTAACACCCACATGACAGCGAACAGTCACCAGTAACTCTAGTTCCAGGGGATGTGACACCCTCTTCTGGCCTCCCTGGGCACTGCTCACACATACTGTACTGACATACATGCATGCAAAACACTCATATACATATAAGAAAAAAATAAATTAGTACCAGGCGTGATGCCTTTAATCAGAGCACGTCGGAGGCAGAGGCAGGAGGATCTCTGAGTTCAACGCCAGCCTGATCTATATAGTGAGTTTCAGGCCAGCTTTGGCTACAGGGAGACCCTATCTCAAAAGTAACTTAAATTTTTTTTTTTTAAAAAAGAACTGTAATAGCTTCCTTTTCATATTCTTTGGCACAGTTTTATTTAATCCTTGTATTATTTCTTCCTTAAATGTTTTATAAAACTTTGAAGTCATCATGGCCAAGTTACATGTTTGTTACATCTGTATACTTTGCTAAGGGTCCTCACTGCCTGAAACAGCTGCATGAATCACAAACTCTTGGGGTTTGAGAGATGGTTCAGCTGTTAAGAGCACTGGCTGCTCTTGCAGAGAACCTGGGTTCAATTTCCAGCACCCACATGGCAGCTAACAACTATACATAACTCCAATTCCAGGGGATTTGACACCCTCTTCTGACCTCACTGGCATTGCATGATATGGGTCCATCCATCTACATGCAGCTATTACAATCATGCACATAAACTATTAAAATATTTTTTTAAAAAGTCACAGATTCTTATTTCAGTATACAACATGAAGTAAATTCATTTGTATTAATAGATGCAATCCAGTAATAAGCAGGACACATTTGTCTATAAAGTGTTATTTCAGTGATTGTTCCATTTTTTCACTTCCATCATTAGCATCCTACCTCCTTTTTTGACATGTCATGAATTTCAGAACATGCTATCAAGAAGGGGTAACAGCAAAGACTCATTGATGTGACTCCTGCCTTCACTAACTAAATGCATTCTTCATAGCTTCCTCATTCAACTCTAAAACATGGGCCTCTACACATAATTAAAAATAATAAAAACAGGGGATAGAGAGATGGCTGAGCATAAGAACTCTGACAGCTTTTGCAGAGGACCTGGGTTTAGTTCCCAGCACTGACGTGGTGGCTAACAACCATCCACAACTCTAATTCCAAGGTATCTGATATCGTCTACTGGCCCTCCACTGGCATTGCATGGCAGCACTTCCATGCATTCAGGCAAAACATTCATATACAAAAAATAAAAATAAATTTTTTGTATAAAAATAAATTTTAAAACAAACAAAAGATAAAAACAAAAACTCCTTAAAAATGGGACTATAGAGATGGTTCAGAGGTTAGGAACACTTATTGTTCTCAAAGGACCTATGTTTTGTTCCCAGCATCTACTCTGGGAGGTTCACAACTACCTGTTAATTGAGGGTCCAGGGGGATCCATGGGTACCTGCACTCACATGGACATGCACACACACATACACATGACTAAAACTAATAAAAATAAATGTTAAAATGCAGGCTTCAATGTTATGGGATTACTAGGGTAGTTCTTGAAGAGTCAAAACTTATGTTAGGTCCCCAAATAGCCAGATTCTACCCTAAATGAAATGCTTCTTCTTTGCTTTATAGCATCTTGTATATGAACAATAACTAGGGGAAAAGTAGTATTCTAACAGGCTTTCACTTTTTTTTTTTGGTGTTTTTGAGACAGGGTTTCCCTGTAGTCCCAGCTGGACTGTAACTCACTGTGTAGACCAGGCTGGCCTCGAACTCACAGAGATCCACCTGCCTCTGCCTCCCAAGTGTTGGGATTAAAGACCTGTGCCACCACACCCAGCTTAATTCACTTAATTTTTTACACTGAGAGAGAGAGAATATGCATGTGTGCCATGTGTGGGTGTGGAGGCAAGAGGATAACTTTCAGGAGTTGGTTCTCTCCTATGTGGGTCCTGGGAATTGAATTCAAGTTGTCAAATTTAAGGCAAACACCTTTACACAATGAAGCCATCTTGCCAGCAGAATTCATCTGAGCCATCTCTCTAATCCCTACCTTTTTTTTTGGTCTTTTTGAGACAGGGTCTCCCTGTAGCCCCAGCTGTCCTGGAACTCACTATGTAGACCAGGCTGGCCTTGAACTCACAGAGATCCACCTGCCTCTACCTCCTGAGTGCTGGGATTAAAGGCATGCACCCGGCTCCTGATTTACTTTTTAAATTATGTATTTTTACTTTTTAAAGCTTGAGCTATAATTTAACATAAAAGCAAAATGACTAAATAATGAGAATGAATAATATTATAAAACTTCAACTATTGACAATCACTAGCAATAAGGAAAGAATTCATCAGCTGTGTGTGGTGGTGCCTTTAATCCCAGCACTCAGGGAGTTCAAGACCTAACTGGTCTACATAGCAAGTTCTAGGCCAGCCAGGACTACACAGTGAGACCCAGTCTCAAAAGACAAAACAAAACAAAAAACACCAAAGAAAAGGGAACTATAGTGTTGGCTCAGCAGTTAAGAACATTTACTGCTCTTCCAAAGGACCCAGCACCCACATGGCAGGTAACACACCTTCTTAACTCCATTTCCAGGGGACCTGATAGCCTCTTGTCCAGAGTCTCTGGGCACCAGGCATGCATGTGGTGCCTGTATACATAAAGTCTTTTAATAAAAAAAAAAAAAAAAGCCGGGTGTGGTGGCATATGCCTTTAATCAATTTTTGAGAATCAATTTATTTCCTTCATGTTCTTGATGTGAATATGAAGTTTGACACTATTTTATGTTTAACTGAGTAATATTTAAATATTTACAAATACTTTTTTAGATAAATAACTATGCACTTTTTGTAGAAATGCCTACCTTTTAGAAATAAACTTAGCACAAGCCGATGGCAAATCATTCTTTTTGCTTGTTTTTTTTGCAGAATTAAAAGTTTCACAGTTCATAGAAGTCACTTTTTCATTTGGACCATTAACTGACTCTTGGTTCACAGTCAAATTCTGAATAGTCTCTGAATTTGCAGTCTGTTAAATGGATGAGGAAAGAGCAAGTGAGTGGAAACAGGTGAAATTAATGATTGGTTAAATTTCACATAGAAAATATTACTACATATGCATGTCAAAACATTAAATATATATTCAATGGCTGGTATCCATAATGGTGATTTCTCTGCCAAAATGAATTTTCAAAAATTTAGGAGTCGGGTGTGGTAGCAAAAGCCTTTAATCCCAGCACCCAGGAGGGAGAGGCAGGTGGATCTCTGAGTTTAAGGCCAGCCTGGTCTACACAGCGAGTGTCAGGCTAGTTGGGGCTACAAGAAGACCCTGTCTCAAAAAGACCAAAAAGAAAAAACTAAACAAAACAAACAACTGAAAGGCTTAAGAAAAAAGGGAGACTATCTGGGAACCTTGTGGCTAGAAAGCAACACCATGGTACCTTAAGGAGGTTTGAAGTTTGGCCGAGCCCAAGGAATCACTCAACTGGGGGCAGGCTTTGAGAGTTCATAGTCTTGCCTTCCAATTTCTCTCTTTCCTATGCCTGCTTGAAAATGTGAGAACTCAGTTTTCTGGTATCCTGCCATGCCTCCTTGCTCTGATGGACTCTTATCCTTCTAAAAGCAAAAGCTAAATAAACTCTTCCTTCTATAAGCTGCCTTGATCATGGTGTTTTATGACAGCAATGGAAAAGGAACTAAGACAGAAATCAATACCACAAAGTGGCCTATTGCTATCAAGAACCTGGTCCTGTTGTTTATGGATGAATTTGGAAAACTAAAAGTTTGACCTAGGGGCTGGAGAGATGGCTCAGCTGTTAAGAGCACTGACTGCTCTTGCATAGGGCCTGGGTTTGATTCCCTGCACCCACATGGCAGCTAACAACCATCCATAACTACAGTTCCAGGGGATCCGACACCTTCTTCTGACCTCTGAGGGTATTGCATGACATGAGTGCACTCACACACATGCAGGCAATTCATTCACACTCGTAAATTAAAAAAACAAAGTTTGAACTAGAAAAACAGGTGACTGTTATAAGCAGAACTTAATGGGCAGTTCTAGTAGAGGCCCAGCTCAAGATACCCCAAAGGGAGATGGAAACAAGGATTTAAACAGCAACTGAGATATTCTGGCAAAAAGTATCTAAGGCCTAAAACTACTAAATTAAAATGTAATGGACTAATTTCTTTGGCAGAAGAAATTTCAAGATGCCTAATGTTGAATATGTGGTGTGATTATTAATGCTGAATACTATACAGATCTACAATGAAAATGAACAAGTGTGGCAGAAAGAAATCCAGGATGTAGTTTGGAGAGAAAGATTACTAGGAAGCTTACTGTTGCAGCAAAGTCAAGTCCTAGAAGAGGTGATCATTGTTAAGAGATTAGAGCTATTAAAGTGAGGCTGTCTCTCCAGATCTACAGGGCAATACCCCACCCAGAGCTCCCAGCCCGTGAAAGGAAAAGTCCTAAGGAGTTTTCCCAGTCCTAGAAAACCACAACATACAAAAGCTCTACTGGTAATATGAAGGAAGCCAAGGCCCATCCAAAGCTAAGAGCCTGTCTTGGCAGTGTGATTCAGGTGGTGCTGGCCTTAAAGGAGTGTAAAATGTGAGGGGGTCATTGATTCTTCCTATGAGGCTTCAGAGAGCCACTGAGACCAGGCAGTATATGGCAGGGGAGTATGTGCACTGAGAGAAGGCCCTGGGAAGCCAAGACCCCATGATGTCCAAGATGCCAGAGCCATGAGACAACTGAAAGCTGTATACAGGGAGTGAGACCAGCCCCAAAGTGAGATGTATGTTATAGACAGCAAAGCTGGAGGAGCTGATCCATCCAAGCCCTTTGGAACTGAACTCCCAAACACAGGACATAGAGCTACAGGATTTGGTGTCTGTTGTGCTGGGTTTTGTCCAGTATTTCCTCAGTATGCCCCCTTCCATTCTTTTGGAATGGACTGTGCATTCTGTGTCATGGTATGTGGGAAGTATGCAATTTGCTTTTTGACTTTTCAGTTAAGAGAATGCCTGAAGTCTCAGAAGAGACTTTTAGACTTTTGAATAGTGTTGAAAATGTTAAAGACTATGGGGACTTTTAAAGTTAGACTAATTAATAATGTTGCATTATGATATGGTCATAAGCCTATGGGGGTCAGGGAACAGAAAGCAATGATTTGAAAAAAGTGTTTCCCATAGGCTCAAGTATTTGAACACTTGGTCAGTTGGTGGCACTGTTTGTGGAGGATCACGGACTTCTAGGAGGTTTGGTCTAGCTGGAGGAAGCATGTCATTGGGGGAAGGCTTTAAGAGCTAATTGTCTTGCCCCTCTTTCAATGTCTCTCTCTGTTTCCTCTGCTTGCTAGAAGATATGAGTGCTCAGCTTTCTGTTCCAGCAGCCTCCTGCCATAATGGATTCTTATTCCTCTGGAACCCTTAGTCAAATAAACTCCTTTTATAAGTTGCCTTGATCATAGAGTTTTATCACAGCAAAAAAAAGGTAACTAATACACCAACTATAATCATGACAGACTATAAAAATATTAATCACTCCTAAAACAGTGTGTTCTGGGGCTGGAGAGATGGCTCAGTGGTTAAGAGCACTGGCTGCTCTTGCAGAGGACCCAGGTTCAATTCCCAGCACCCACGTGGCAGCTAACAACCATCCTTAACTCTAGGTTGAGGAGATCCGGTGCCCTCTTCTGACCTTTGTGGGCATTGTATGACATGGGTGCAGATACCTACATGCAGGCAATACACTCACACACAGAAAATAAAAAATAAGTAAAATATAAAGAAATACAAGTGGCAGTTTATTTTATTATTATTATAGGAAACACAAGTGGCAGCTTATTTTTGAAATTTATTATTTCTATTTTATGTGTGAGTGTTATTGCCTGCATGTAGGTAAGTACGCCCATGACATACAATGCCCATGAAGGTCAGAAGAAAGCATCAGATCCCCTGGAAGTGGAGTTACAGATAGTTGTCAGCCACTATGTGGGTGCTGGGATTTGAACTGGAGTCTGCTGCAAGAGTAGCTGGTGCTCTTCACCACTCACTGAGCCATCTCTCCAGCCCCAGGAGTTTATTATTTAAAGGCATTTTCTCCAAAAACATATTCAGAGAATTATTCTAAACTTATCCTTTAAAGTTTTCTGTCCTAGTTTAGAAATGCATTCACTTCTCATGATCCAGCTATTTACAAGTTGACTAGATTACTGAAACCTCTATGTGTTTATACCAACCTTACAGACTGTACTACTGATTACTGTATTCGATTCCAAACAATTCTCTTGAATTGTTTTAATATGTCTTTGAAGTCTTCCTATTTTTACCTGGAAGAAAAAAACCTAAATGAATACCAAATGAGAGCACTAAATATACAGAGGTGCAGTATTACTACGCCAACATTAAAATTACCTGAACAAAAAAAGTCTAACTCTTAAATTTAGCTTTTTATTTACTATTTTTATTTTATGCGTATGAGTGTATTGCCTGCATGCAAGTGCACCCATGTCGTGCAATGCCCACAGAGGTCAGAAGAGGGCATCGGATCCCCTGGACCTGGAGTTAAGGATGGTTGTTAGCTGCCATGTGGGTGCTGGGAATCGAACCTGGGTCCTCTGCAAGAGCAGCCAATGCTCTTAATTGCTGAGCCATCTGTCCAGCCCCTTAAATTAGTTTTTAAGAGTGCCCAAACTCAGAGGCACTCATTCCCCTAGAGATCTCTTGGAACTGGGTGTCTCCTAGAACTGTGTTGCCAAATTGTCCCTGCTGGAACTCTGTCCCAGTCCTACCCATCATTTTATTCAAAATGGTCTCTCCAGCTTGAGAGCCAAGTACAAGCTTGGCTGCACCCTAATCTGAACAGACCATCTGGTCTTTTCACTCCTAGTTCTAGAATATCTCATTTATCCAAGGCCATTGGTCCTTCACACAAACTGGAGTACAGGGATTAAAGGTGTGTACCACCATACTGGGCCCATTAGGGTTACTTTGAGAAATGGTTTACTGCAATTACCTGGTGAAATATCTGCTTGCAATTATCTTGTTTGCTAAGAGGCTTCCAAAAATCTTGTTAAAGAATGTTCTAATCTTTGCCCTCAATATCTGCTTTGGTAAATATATTTGATCACCCAACCACAAGAAGGAATTTCCCCTCAGTGGTCTTGAGTCACATAGACATCTGCGGCTGATGGTCACACAGAATGTGATTTGAATCTACCAATGCTGTAGCAATTGGGAAATGATGCTGGGAAACCTATAAAAACTGTAAGAAACCTTGGGCCAGGGCCTAGAACTTGAGTGCTAGCTCATCTGGGTCCAACAGCATATATAAATGTGAGATCTCCAAACCTCAGAGTGGTGCTTGGGTCCTTGCTGAATGTGATTTTCCACAACAGTAGAGGGAAAATTCTTTGACAAGGTAGTCTTGTGAAACTCAGACATCTACTGAAACAAATGAGAACTTTTTTTCCCCCAAAAGATGTTTATTTTTATGTTATGTGTGTTTGCCTCCATGTATGTATGTATGTATGTATGTATACCATGTATGTATCTGCTTCCCAAGGAGGCCAGAAGAGGGTGTCAGATGTCCTATAACTAGAGTTACTGGTTGTGAACCACCATGTGGGTGCTGGGAATCAAACCCAGGTCCACTGCAAGAGAGATCTTAGCTGCTGGGCTATCTCTCCAGTCACTACCACCCCATTAAAATTATGATTCTATTATCCTATTCCAGGATCCTATGACCTCTAGCAGGGAGTACCTTCTATTCTTTCACTCCCTCAGCTAGCATGGTTTTATTTTGGTTTAATTTTGAGACAGTCTCATGTATTTTAGGCTGGCCTTGAACTCCCATAAATTCAATGAGGACCCTGAATTTATCATCTTCCTGCTTCTACCTCTGAGTAATGGGCTTACAGCTGTGCATCAGCATACCCCGTTTATGTAGTTCTGGGGATCAAGCCTAGGATAATGTTAGATAAGCCAGTATGCTATCAACTGGAACAGCCCATAAATGAGAAATTCTTATGTAGTCATCCCTTGCTATTTCATGGAGGAATGGCTCCAAGTTGATAGATACAAATATTTGATGTTAAGATTATTTACAATGGCATAGTATTAAAAATTACACACATCCTTCTGTATTCTTTAAATCATCTTTAGATTACTTATGATGCCTACTATACAGTTTGTCATATGGTACTGTTTAGGGAATGACAAGACAAAAAGATGATACATGTACAATAGAAACATTTTTTCCCATTAAATATTTCAGTCTGCAGTTAAATACGCAGGCATAGAAACTAAAACATGGAAAACTGACAAAACTAACAAAGTATTTGAAGCGGATTTTATGCTTGTGTAATACTCAAAAATGGAAGAGGCTTGTCATGGTGGTATAGGACTACAATTCCAACATTAGGAAGGCTGAGGCAGAAGGACAGAGTTTGAGGCCAGTCTATAGACTATATAGCCAGATCCAACCTCGAAAAAGAAAAGGAAGAGCTGGGCGTGGTGGCACATACCTTTAATCCCAGCACTTGGGAGGCAGAGGCAGGTGGATATCTGTTTGAGGCCAGCCTGGTCTACATAGAGTTCCAGGCCAACTGGGGCTACAGGGAGACCCTGTCTCAAAAAGATCAAAAAAGAAAAAAAAAAAAGAAAAAGAAAAAGAAGAAAAGGAAGAATGGAAGATAAAAATGGGAAACTTGTCTGCAAAAAAACTGATGTTAGTTTAGTTTTCAGTTGGTTCTAATCCTAGAAAACTAAAACAAAAAAACTCAAAAGATCTGGAAATAGATTATGTAAGCTATAACAAAGGACATATTTAGAGTAGAAAGAAACTGCCCACATACTATATATGTCTATGGACACAGAATACCTTATAATTTTAAGACTGTTTCTCAATTAAAACTTGTCTCCAGGAATCAAATTTGGGTCTTTTATTGCTTGCCTTTCCTAATATATAAGAGATCATCAAATTCCACATTTTAAAAGGACTGAAATGAGCTTAGAAACTTACAAATAGTTCACCAGCTATTGCTTCATGCTTATTCTTGCACTCGGCCTTCACAATACGTTCACTCAGTTCATTCATTTTTTTATCAAATAATTTGCAGTTTATCCTGTAGATCTCCTGTTGAATCCAATATTTAACCTAGAATTTAAAGATAAAGGCCAAAATATACTGTTTCAAATTTTAAAAGTTTTGTACTTCTTAAAAACTGCTTTTCTAAAAAAATGAAAGTTAAAAAAAAACTGCTTTCTTTACTTTTTCTGATTTGCTGTAATTATAAAAACTACTGTGACTATACCAGAACTTGGGAGGCAGAGGCAGGCGGATCTCAAGGCCAGCCTGGTCTACATAGTGAATTCCAGGACAGCTGGGGCTACAGGGAGAGCGTGTCTAAAAAAAAAAAACAAACAAAAAAAAAACAAAACCTACTTTGACTATACCAGTAAGTTTTATAAAAATTGAATATTAAACTTTGTACAACACATTTAATATTTAGTACATAAAGATGTTAACTAGTTCATATAGTTCCAGCTGACTCTATAAGGTATATTATATGAGCAAATCTATATTCCATCTATTATTATCTTAATGACCATAACTGAAAATTAGTACTCCATAAAAGAAGCTTGACTTATCTGAAAGCCAGAGTCTGATGAAAACAGTGGGGATAGTCTATAGTAAATATAGAATAACTTATACAAGTTTGAGCCTGGACCTGGTTATTATATATAGTGTAATAACCTGTAATATGTACATAGCCTTTGAGAAATCTTATTTCTGGTCTTTGCTTTTCCTGTCCACAAACAGGTATATGATAGTTTGCTGAATGAGGGCTATCTTAAGGATTTTATAACAAAGAAGGTATTATGTAGAAGAGTTCTACAAAACAGAAAACATTTAATTGATATAAGGAAAATTAACATGCAAGATAATCACCATTAATTGCATAATTTTTTAAGGAGGTGGCTTTATTAGGTTAAAATTGAAATAAACCAGGGACAATCATCTAGTGACTAATAACCTTGCACAATGCACACTATTTTTCTTCTTTTGGAGACAGGGATCTTGCTATGTAAACCAGGTTGGCTTCACACTCAGATCTTCCTGCTTCTGCCTCCCAAGTACTATAATTAAAGGCATACACTATCACTACATACTATTTTAACAGACTATAGTAATTATTACATGATAATCATTTTTATCATTTTCTTAAACTAGGCTAGCCCGATTTTAGGATGCATAATTGATCTTAATGCTCACTGATATGAACAGCTCAGCTGAGCAACACATTCAGAAAGTTTTTCACTTGGTGTATATCCTACTGTAAGCAAGATATAAGGACTTTGTAATAGTAAGCAGTCTTGACCCTTAATGACACCTATCACAATAGTAATTCTATCTTGCCCTAATATTTTGCTTTATGGTGCCCTAAATTAGGACATACAGTTCCTATACTTAATTCTTCTATATTGTTATCACCTGGATAATTATAATCTATAATTGTATTTTATGATCCCTAAGGTTTATCCTTGTTTCAGTTTTCAACTGTTATATGACCTATAATGCTTTGAAACATTATATGTTGTATATGTTATTCAAAATATATGAATAAAAGCTAAAAGCATACACCATTTTTACTGACAGCCCTCACCTATAACCTAAGTGCATTCCTTATGGATCATTGCATGCTTTCTGTGAATATGAAGCATAAATGGTATTCAATCAGATAAATCTTAAGAAACACATCTTAAAAAACAAGTTAAGGGGGCTGGGAGATGGCGCAGTGGTTAAGAGCACTGGCTGCTCTTGCAGAGGACCTGGGTTCAGTTCCTGGCACACACATGGTAGATAACAACAACCTGCTAACTCCAGTTCAAGGAGATCCAGCACCTTCTTCCTGTCTTCCACAGGCATTGTACACAGGTGGTGCATTTACATGCAGGCAAAACACTTATGCACACAAAAATAAAAGTTTAAAAGCCAGGCGTGGTGGTGGCGCATGCCTTTAATCCCAGCACTCAGGAGGCAGAGGCAGGCGGATCTCTGTGAGTTCAAGGCCAGCCTGGTCTACATAGCGAGTTCCAGGACAGCTGGGGCTACAGGGAAACCCTGTCTCAAAAAGACCAAAAAAAAAAAAAAGTTAAAAAATTAAAAAAAAGAAAAAAGCTAATAACACATGCTTTATAATCTTTCCCTGATACTTATTTTGGACTAGGTGCTCACTAAGGATGACTCAAAAGGACTTATTTGTTCTTATTTAGTGGAAAGAAGAAGCAATCATTTCTACCAATTCCTATCAATTACCTCATAAATGTCTACCTGTGTCTTTGAGGGGTGCGTGTGTGTGTGTGCACACTGGTGCAGTTGCCTGTGGAGGCCAGAGGTCAGTGTCAGGTATCTTCCTTTATCTATTTCCACCTTATTTTTTGTTAGATTCTTTTATTTACTGTGTGTGTACACAAGTGCATGAGAGTCTGTGCTAAGGTGTGTGTGGAGGTCAGAGAACAAGTTTTAAGAGTGGCCCTCTCCTGCTACATGGGTCCTGAGGATCAAACTCAGACTATCAGGCTTGATGGGAAGGGTCCCGTAGTGAACCACCTCACCATCTTGTACTTTCTTTTTTTTTGAGTCAGGGTCTCTCACCAAATCTGGAGTTCACCATTTAAGCTAGACCGGCTGGCCAACAGTAAGCCCCTGGGATTCACATGTCCCTCCCCTCTCTACCTATGCCCTGTGTTCCCCAGTATTGGGGTCACAGATGTATGCCATCATGCCTGGCTTGTACATGGATGCCAAAGATCCTATTTCACTCTGCCTTCTGGATCAATCTCCCCAGCCCCACTCATAAATGATTTTTACCAACGGTAATGTATACATTATGCAACTACATAGCTTAAGTTTTCAGATGACAGGCAAATTGGCCTAAAGTTTATAGAAAATACAAACTTAAGTATGTTCTATCTGGCCAAACTGTCTCTGAATTGAGATACTGTAAGTTGAACTTCAGACACCTCCAGTAATGTAACTGGAGTCAGCTAGGCCAAGATCTTTATTCTCAAGATCTTCTACTCAAGAGAAGTGACAGGTCTAGGACTCTCTCAATAAAGAAAACAGTGAGTGTCAAAGTGGGATATACAGGCATAGCAATGGTATTCAATCAAGATAAAAACACAGATATGGGCTGGGGATGGTGGTGCACGCCTTTAATCCCAGCACTCAGGAGGCAGAGGTAGGCCAGCCTGGTCTACATAGCAAGTTCTAGGCCAGCTGGGGCTATAATGAGACCCAGAAACAAACACACACACACACACACACACACACACACGATTTAGAGATCATTGTTTGGACAGGAATTAGAAGTGAGGGAATGCTAGACAGTTAAAAAAAGATATAGCTGAAACTCAGATTTTCTAGGAAAAATGTGTAGTATAAGAAGATTCCACGGCTGGAGAGATGGCTCAGCGGTTAAGAACACTGACTGTTCTTGCAGAAGACCCAGGTTCGAATCCCAGCACCCACTGGGAGCTAACAACTGTCTGTAACTCTAGTTCCAGGGGATCCGACAGCTTCTTCTGTCTTCCGTGATGGGTGCACTTACCTACATGTAGGCAATACACACATACACATAAAATAAAAACAGTAAATAAAATATTTTAGCCAGGCATGGTGGCCCATGGCTTTAATCCTAGCACTTGGGAGGCAGAAGCAGGAAGAGGATCTCTGTGAGTTCAAGGCCAGCCTGGTCTACATAGTGAGTTCCAGGACAGCTGGGGCTACAGGGAGACCCTGTCTCAAAAAGACCAAAAAAAAAAAAAAGTTTCCAGGAGGGAGGAATTAGTTAGCAAATAAACTGCATTCCTGAAATTCACTGGGAAGTACTACTTTCTGTGAGTCTATGAGTCACCTTGGGTCAAGTATCTTGTGAGGTGACACAAGAAACCCTTGATTTCAATGCCACTGAATTTTATAAGTTCAAGGAGAAGATGGTGCAGAAAGAGGGAAGAAAGCTTCTGCCCTTCCCAAAGTGAAGGCACTGAAAGCCAAGAAGGCAGTATTGAAGGATGTCAACAATCCCAAAAAGGAACTCTGCACATCACCCACCTTCCAGTGGCCCAACACCCTGTCGCTTGGGAGACAGCCCAAATACCCTTGCAAGAGCATCCCCTGGGAAAACCAAGCTGGACCTCTGTGCCATCAAGTCCTCCTGACCAAGTCTGCCATGAAGAAGATAGAAGACAACAATATACTTGTATTTACTGTGGATGTTAAGACCAATAAGCACCAGACCAGAGTCTGTGAAACTCAGATTGATATGGTCCAAGTTAAGACCCTGATCAGGCCTAAGAGAAGTTCGAAGGCTAGAGTATGTTTTATGTTTATGGGTCCATATCCTAACTTGTTTCTAATGTAGCCTCAAGTCATTAGGAATAAAACACAGTTAGAACCTTCAACCTTCTATTACCCCTTCACTGTCAGCAAAAGAACAATTATAGCTTTTTATCAGTGTCTATGCTGCTCTTCTGGAAAAAGGAGAGGAAGGTAGAAAAACTATTGACTAATCTTGTTAAGTTATATAAAGAGGTTTTTTCTATTAGGTGAATACATATTCATAAGGTATATATAACTGTTAATGGTCTATTTTGGCTAACAGTGGATTTAACTGGTGAAACAGGATTGTTCAGATTGGAAGCTTCTGGTTTGACACAGCTAGGAGATATTAATCTACCATATAGTATCTTTTAGTGGTGGCATTTCAGTGGTAGCAATGGGGAAACCTGACTCATCAAAACAGGACCTGAGTAGAGCTATTCTACTAGAACTGAAGCTTATATTTAATTGATCAGAGATGGTCAACTTGAAGTGGAATTGGGGGCAACAATGAAAACAAGAAGTACGTATTAAAATTTCATAAAGCAGTATATTCATGCTAATTTGGAAGAGGAGGTATATCAGGACTCTGCAACGGACAACAGGATGGTCTAAGTCTACGAAATAGAGATCTATAAAGAGCTTTAGATCAAAAAACTCCAGTACAAAATACCAGATTGCTTTTTAAAAATATTTTATTATTTTTATTTTATGTGCGTTAAGTATCGCTTGCACGTATGTGCACCCCTGTTGTACAATGCCTGTGGAGGTCAGAACACGGAGCTGAATTTCCTTGGAACTGGAGTTATGGACAGTTCTTAACTGTAGGTGCTGCAAGAGCAGCCAGTGCTCTTAAATGCCAAGCCGTCTCTCCAGCCCCAATACTGGATTGTTAAGCAAAGCTTGGAGGTCATTCTATGTCGGACTCACAGATCTGAGCATAATATTGAATAAAAACTCCATCTCTTTCTTTAAGAATTTAGCTACATCTAATTCTGTAGACTACTTGGTCTGGGATCATTTTCCAGAAGAGACATTTTAGTAATATAAAAATATTTTTCTTTTTTTTCTTTTTTTGATACAGAGTCTCACTATGTAGTCCTGGATAGCCTCGAAGTGATAACCCTGCCTCCGCTCCCTAGTGCGTCACCATGCCCACCTCAAATAATTTAACTTTTAACATTTTGTTCAGGTTGCAAATATTTTAAATTATGTGTTGGGGGGTGAGGAGGATGTGCACATGACCATAGGTGTAGAAGAGGGCATCGGATGCCCTGGAGCTGGAGTTACAGGAAGTTGTGAGTCATTCTCAAACGGGTACTGCGAACCCCAGGTCCTCTGCAAGAGCTGTAAGTGCTCTTAGCCATGGAGTCATCTCTCCAGCACTTTTAACATTTTTTATTAATCAGAAGTAAAAAGCTTCTAAGGTGACATTTTACCTGTTCTAGCAGTGCTGTTTGCCTTTCCAGAGCTACACAAGCATTCCCATTAATTTGCTCTGAAGTTTTCATGCGCTTAACATTTTCTTTGTTTGCTGAAAATGTCCTCTTCTGATTATGGCCTTCAGGAGAAAGAAACATTAAGAGATAAAAATATTCCTTCAAAGAAGGAAACAAAAACTCTCTAATTTAGGGAGTCTAGAGAGCCTAATCAAATGGAAAAACTAAAATGTGACAATAGCAGCATTTAAAAAAAAAGTAATTTTTAAAGTAAATTTAAGTGCACAAAAACTTTCCCACCACTATTCTTTAAAAAAAAGAAATTTTAGTCTTTAATACCAGCACTCAGGAGGCAGAGGAAGGCAGACCTCTGTGAGATCAAGGCCATCCTGCAGTACACAGTAAGTTCCAGGGCTGCAGGGAGATCCTGTCTCAAAAAGACCCCAAAAAATTTTTATTTGAAGGGCTGGAGAGAGAGCACAGCAGTTAAGAGCACTGCTGATCTTCCAGAAGACCTGGGTTGAGCTCCCAGAATCCACATGGCAGCTAACAACCATCTAAAACTCTAGGGGATCTGATGCCCTCTTCTAGCCTCTGCAGGCACTGCATGACATGAGTGCACTTACATACATGCAGGCAAAAACACTCATACACATAAAATAAATAAATTTATTAAAAAAGGAAACCAAAAAGAGCAAGTACTGCTCTTACAGAGGATCTGAGTTCTGTTCCCAGTATTCAAGTCAGGCAGCTCACAACTGCTTGGAACTCCAGTGATGCCTCTGAGAACATGAATACATAGCTACCAACATATCCACATACCCACAAGTACACATTTTTTTAAAAAATCGTTAAAAAAGACTTGGGGGTGGGGAGACTGGAGAGATGGCTCAGTGGTTAAGAGCACTGACTGCTCTTGCAGAGGACAAAGGTTCAAATCCCAGCACCCACACGGTGGCTAACAACCATCTGTAACTCCAGTTCTAGAGAATCCGGTACCTTCTTCTGACCTTCTCAGGCACTGCACGACACGGGTGCACTTACACACATGCAGGCAACACACTAATACACATTAAAAAAAGAAAAAAGACTTAGGGGGTGGGTTGAAAGATGGCTCAGCAGTTAATAGCACTTGCTGCTCTTGTGTAGGACCCAGGATCACGTCCCAGTACCCACTTGGAGGCTAACAGTCATCCATAATTCCAATTCCAGGAGGTCCAAGCCCTCTTCTGGCCCCTGCAGGCAATGTGTGACGTGGGTGTACTTAATATACATGCAGACGAAACACTCAAAAATAAATTTAAAACGTTTCTAAGAATAACATTTTTATTTGTATGCGTATGCAGATGTCCAGGAAGAGGAAATCAGGTCCTTGGACAGGAATTACAGGCGGTTGTGAGCCACTCAATGCGGGTGCTGGGAACTTGAATCCTCAGAGAGCAGCAATGATTCTTAATCACAGAACAATCCCTCTAGCCCTTATTTTGCTAGCTTAATGATTTTTTTTAAATTTTATTTTTATTTAATGTGTATGGATGTATTGCTGGCATGTAGGTAGATGCACCCATGTTGTGCAGTTCTTGCAGAGGTCAAAAGAGGGTGTTGGATCCCCTGGAACTGGAGTTAGAGACAGTTGTTAGCCACCATGTGGGTGCTGGGAATTGAACCCAGGTCTTCTGCAAGAGGAGTCAGTGCTCTTAGCTGTTGGGCCATCTCTTGAGCCCCACTACTTTAATGACTTTATAACTCCAAATTTCTTTCTTTTTTAGACAAGGTCTCACTGTATAGCCCTAGTTGTTCTGGAACTCTCTATACAGACCAGATAGGCTCAAATTAGAGCTCTACCTGCCTTTGCCTTTGTCCAGTCAGAACTTCCTTTTTGAATTACTTAGCTTCCCTCCAGGTATCTCTCTGTATTTGGTACATAGAGCCACACCTATGAATTAACTCTGTATTGCTACTTATCATCTTGGCAATATAAGTCAATTATAAGTCAATTCTATGGGAGAAATGGGATCACAATTTTTTAAAACCCTCTCTAGGGGAGTTCACAAGGCTCCAACCCTTTGAGGAGCTATGGGCAGTTAATGTTTGCAGGTGGACATTTTATTTAGTGGTATAGTCACTGATAAGCTGCCCATTCTCCTGTGAATAAATTTATGCTCATGTAAGTAACCCTAATTAAAATCACTGGGTAAAAAAGTAGTCTTGGGCTGGGCGTGGTGGTATACAAGCCTTTAATCCTAGCACTTGGGAGGCAGAGGACTCTGAGAGTTCAAGGCCAGCCTACTCTACATAGTGAGTTCCAGGCCAGCTGGGGCTACAAGGAGACCCTGTCTCAAAAAGACCAAAAATAAATAAATAAATAAATAAATAAATAAATAAATAAGCAAGCAATAAAAATAGACTCTCTTGCCATGTTGGGAATGATCCAGGGTTTTATATATGGTAGACAAATGTTTATCGATGAGCTACATTGCTAATCTTATGAACGACGACTTTGGAAGAACAGAATCAAGAAGAGTGGGAGGACGATGGACAATAATAGGGGCTGGTATATGATCAAAATACTTTATGCCCATACATCTTTTTATATGTAGTAAATTGTAATTTAAATTGATGCAAAGACTATAAACTCCTTTTTTACAAATAAACTGATCAAGCAAAACAGACACAAACAGTAACTAATCAGGCTGTCTCTGGACCTCATTTTCTTTTCTTTGTCTATAAACATAACCTATCCATGTGATGGAAAGGATGGGGGCGTTGTTTTTTGGATACAGGGTCTCATATAGCCCAGGTTGGCCTTGAATTTTCTATGTATCTGAGGATGACTAGACTTCTAAACCTCCTGTCTCTACCTCTCCTTAGTGCTGGAATTATAGGCATGTACCACAAGGTCCATTTTATGTGGTGCCAGGAATTAAACCTAGGGCTTTGGGAACACCAAGCAAGCTGCCAAATTGTAGAGTTGCAATAAAACTACAAATAAAGTCAACTGAGTTCATTGAGATTAACTATAATTTTCCCCTTTAACAATACACTCAGGAGGCAGAAGCCTACCTGGTCTACACAGTGTGGTCCACACCAACTGAGGCTACATGTAGACCCTGTCTCAAAAAGACCAAAAAAAAAAAAAATAATAAAATAAATAAGTAAATAAATAAATCCAGGAATTTTGCTTTTATCATGAGACTCTGGAATTTGCTTCTAAACTGGAAAACCATCTTGTCAATTCTCTTGTCATCCAAGACATTCTGAGCTATACCATCCAATAACATAAGGAGCCACCAAGTGGACTTTTTAGTACAATTCTCTTCATGTTCAAAAAAGGATCTTAATAGATTTGACTGATGTTTAAAATAAGTTTCAGAAGTGTTCCAGGAATCTTTTGCCTCCAGTATAGAGAATTCACTAGAATCTATTGTTTTCCTTGGCTTTGAGAAAAGGTCATACAACTTATTCATCAATGTTTCCTGGTCCTGTTTCTGAACCAACAATTTCTTCTACTGATTTTATTAAATTCTGGGAGAATGCTACACTTTTCCATGACAATACTGAACTATCAGCCAGGCGTGGTGGTGCATGCCTCATGAGGCAGAGGCAGGTGGATCTCTGTGAGTGCAAGGCCAGCCTGGTCTATATGGTGAGTTCAAGGCCAGCTAGGGCTACAGGAGACCCTGACTCGACCAAAAATAAAGAAAATACTGATCTGTCATTAGAGTTAAATGAGGACTCAACATTTTCAGAATGTCTACACTTGCTAGTTATAAGCCCAGTACGTAAGTTCTGATTACCATTTGGAATATCTCTTTCCACTGTTGTTTTCAGAACTTCAACATTCTTTGCCTTATTGAGGCTCTCCAACTGCTTCCGGCAACTTGTAGGCATTGTTTTTTTGGCTTTTAATACCTTCTGTTTTTTCTGGTCTGCACTTGCCATTCTTCGTATCCTAGAAAATATATTTAACATGAGACCTTGCCTCAAAAAACAAAACAAAAATTTAAATCATTTCTCCAGTGAAATAAAGTTATTTGTAACATTAAAATAATCCTGACTTATCTAGAAGCCCTTGAGAGGGAACAGACACTGATTCTAACCACTCCAACGGCTCTCAAAATACCTGAAAGCAAATCCTGCTCGAGTCTAGCCTTGGCAAACAAAAGAAAAATGAGGAAGAACCCAATAGAGGGATGCTTTCGGAAGCCCTTGTCAAGAAATTCCAATGGACTCTCATATGAACATTTGAAAATTACCCTGTTCTGTTTTCTAGTTCCCTGTCTAGGACTTGTAATGCTAATTACTCTTGCCTTTACTTTTCCCTCACCAAAAAAAAAAAAGAAAAAGTTATGCAAGTTGGGAGTCTTTTAGATAGCCTCACTGAAGGCGTACCCCAATTGCCTCACCCTGCGTCCCTGTTCAGCATGGAAGACACCAAAGTGGTCTGCATCTCAATTCCCTATCCACAAGTTGGGTAACCTCTTCAGAGGATGGTGTGATAAGAACAGGACGTAGGAATTGGCTAGGCAATTAGGGTAAAAAGACCCCAAAGAAAAGTAGCCAGTTTCTTGGCTAAAAGTCACAATGTCCTTGGGCCTCTTAGCAACATACTCTGTTCCAAAGGCCAAAAATGTCTGAAGTATTTGGGAGCTTTTATCTAATCCTTAAAAGATTTTAGGGTTACCTCTTCAGAGGGGAGAATGTTAGAGTAGCAAAAAGCCCCATAAAAAAAGGAGTATATGAAGTTATCAGAAAAAAGTGGTGGGGAGATATGGGAGGAGCTGGAGGAGAGGGAGTGGGCATGGATTTGATCAAAACACCTTATATACATGTATGAAATTCTCAATAAATTATTTAAAAAATTAATAATACTGAGACCATCTCTCTAAATTTAATTATTTCTATTTGGAATTTAGCATATATATATTATATATACCCCCTGCCTCTGCTTCCCAAGTTTTGGGATTAAATTTTGCATAAATAGTACTAATGAAGACAGTGATACCAACAGGACAGAATCAAAATCCAGAAAGAGCCTCACATAGAGTCTTGACTTATTTCAAGGATGATATTCTGGTCAAATGGGCGAAAGGATGGCATTAATATATGAAGGCCACCTAAACAGCTGTATGGGGTAGGGAAAAAATATATTAACCTAATCCCAACCTCACACTATTTCTATTTATTTGGCATGTAGAATTGGTTGTCCTGGAACTTTCAGAGATCCACTTACCTCTGCCTCCTAAGTTCTGGAATTAAAAGGTTGCACCACCACTCTGCCATTTTTTTCTTAATATTTTTGAACTCCAAAAGTTCCATAATGAAAGGAGTTATGTCCTAATAAACCTAAATTGAAATGCACTTAATATCCCAAATAAGCCCACTTTAAAATCTACCAAAAAAAAAAAATCATTTTTGGCTTTTTTAAGAGACTCATGTAATTCAGCTTGGCCTTAAACTCATTAAGGATGGCCTTGAATTCCTGATCCTCCTGTCTCCGCCTCCCCAGTGCTGGGACTGTAGACATGTACTACCACATCTTATTTTATGCAGTGCTAGGGATTGAATCCAGAGCTTCATGTGCACTACCATGCTGGGTTAAAAGTTGAAAAGAATCTTAAATCTAATAAAACCAATGTAATATTGGGGGAAAAAAGTTCAATCACTATAACCCAAGAGGTTCTTTTCTCTTTTTGGTACAATGATCTTCTAACTTAACTAAGTCTTTTATCTGAAAAAGATTTTTTTTTGGTGGGGGGGGGCTAAGAGAGATGGCTCAGCTGTTAAGAGCACTAGCTGTTCTTGCACAAGATCTGGGTTCAAATCCTAGTACCCATACGGCAGTTAACAGCCATCCACAACTCCAGTGTGGGGGATAGATGCCTTCTGTCTTCCTTGGGCACTCCACAACACGGGTGCACTTACATACATGCAGGTATAAAGTTTATGCACATAAAAATAATTTAAAAATGTATTTTTATAAAAAGAGAAAAGTTATTTTATGTGAGTGCTCTGCCTGCATGTATGGATATATGTAAGTGCACTCATGCACACAATCCCCACAGAGGCCAGAAGAGGGCATAGGATCCCCCAGAGCTGGAGCTATGGATGTTTGTTAGCTATCACGCTGGAGTTCAGAACCAAACCCGAGTCTTCTTCAGGGACAACCAGTGCTCTTAATCCTTGGGCCATTTCTCCAGTCCCATGCTTTTGTCTTCAATTTTTCAGTCCCCCATCTTCATTTTGAGACAGGGTCTCCCTGTAGTCCCCGCTGGCTGTTCTCGATCTCACAGAGATCCATCTGCCTCTGCCTCCTGAGCACTGGGATTAAAGGCATGCCACCATACCCAGCATAGTTTTTATGGATTCCTTAGATTTTTATACTTCACAATAAAAAAAGAAAGGATACAAATTTTTCTCTTTCCAATCTCAATGCTTTTAGTTCACTTTCATACCTATCTATCCTCACAAGATCCTTTGGAACAATGGTGAAGAGTTAAGAGCAGTTATCTTGTGTCCAATTTAGAAAGAAAACTTCCAATTTTTGACCATAAAATATATTACCTGTGGATTTCTCATAGATGCTTTTTGATAGATTGAATAAATTTAAACATTTCCTTATTTAGTTTATCATGAAGAGGCATTGTGGGGTAGGGATTGAGCATGGATGATAGAGTATTTGGTTAAAATGAACGAAGACATGGGTTTAATCCATCATACCACAGAGAATTCATGCATAGTAGCACAGGTCTGTAGTCTCAAGGCTGTGTGATCAGAATTCAAGGTTATCCTTGGCTACACAGTGAGTCTGAGGTTAGCCTGGGCTACATGAGGAAAAACACAGGCACTTAATTTTTTTTTAAAAGTCATTTAAGACTTTTGTAAGTGGCTGGAGAGATGGCTCTGAGGTTAAAAGCACTGACTGTTCTTGCAGAGGACCCAGGAGAATCGCTGTGAGTTTGAGGCCAAAATTGGCTACATAGCAAATTCCAGAGCAGTCAGGCCTATTGTAGCAAGACTGTTCCCCTGTACTGTCTTGCTATGTTGCCTTGGTTGGCCTCAAACTCAGGCCAGTCCTGCCCCAGTCTTCTGTGTCCTGAGGTTATAGGCACTTGTTACCTTCCTAACACCTTGTCTTTGCCATCATGAGTTTTACCCTCATGAAGCAAGAACCCTGCCTCTGCTTCCTGAGGTCTGACATTACAGGCACAAGCTTACTATGCCTGGCTAGACCCAGTTTAAAAAGCCAGGTGTGGTGGCGAGGAGGTAGAGGCAGGCAGATCTCTGAGAGTTCAAGGCCAGCCTGGTCTACAAAGTGAGTTCCAGGATAAGGATAGCTGGGGCTACAGGGAGACCCTGTCTCAAAAAGACCAAAAAAAAGAAGAAAACCATTGGTCACAGCAAATGAAATGTGTATCTGTAGACAATCACTGCAAAAGGACTATGATAAGCAACTGTCTTCTGACCTCCACATAAAAACCATGGCGTGTGTGTGCCTGCACAAAAAAACACAAACTTCAAGAAAATATGGTGGAGGGTATGGTGGTGCATGCCTTTAATCTCAGCAGAGGCAGGCAGATCTTTGTGAGTTCAAGGCCAGCCTGGTCTTGAATATAGTGAGTTTCGGGCCAGCTGGTGCTACAAGGAGACCCTATCTAAAAAAAAAAATCAAAAAATATTCTTTGGGGCTGGAGAGACGTCTCGGTGGTTAGGAGCACTGACTGTTCTTGCAGAGGACCCAGGTTTGATTCCCAGCACCCACATGACAGCTATGAACCGTCCTTAACTCTAAGTTCCAGGGAATCCTATGCCCTCTTCTGAGCTCCACAGCATTGTATAATATGGTGCACACATATACATGCAGGCAATACACTTATACACATAAAAAAATTTTTTTTTTAGAAAAGAAAAAAATATGGAATTGAAGATTGACATCAAGTACAGGGTAAATAAGGCAAGGAAAACCAAAAAATTCAAAATGTAACTAGAATCCATCAGCTGTTAAACAAATCATTTCCAAAAAGGCATTGCTTATGCTTATTTTATATTTATTTGTGTATTGCCTGAATGTATATAAGTGCACCTGTGTCATGCAATGCCTGTGGAGGGCAGAAGAGGGCACTGGATCCCCTGGAATTGGGGTAATGGACGGTTGTTAGCTGCCATGTAGAGTTGATTTGAACCCAGGTCTTCAGCAAAAACAGTGAGGTTTTTTTTTTTTTTTTTTTTTTTTTTTGGTCTTCAAGACAGGGTCTTCCTGTAGCTCTAGCTGGCCTAGAACTCGCTATGTAGACCAGGCTGGCCTCAAACTCAGAGATCTACCTGTCTCTGAGTGCTGGGACTAAAGGTGCATGCCTCCATACCCAGCCAATTAGTGCTCTTAACTGCTGAGCCATCTCTCCAGCCCTGCTTATGCATTTCTAGTGTGGTAGAAATCAATCTTAGGATCTGATCTGTAAGGCTGAAACTTTTAGAGCCTAATTTGATTAAGGTCAGACTCAACTCTTCTAAATAAAAAAGGGATAAACAAGATGAAAGGCATCATTCACAGTTGAATTCGGTGTATGAAATTAGTCCTTTAGTCCGTGGCTTAATTTTCACATTTGAAATTACATGAATTATCTTGTGTCTTGTACATTCTTCCTTATTTTTTGAATATTGTCACAGGTCATTTGCTACCTTTGATACAACATGAAAACAGGAAATTCCAATGTAGAGTAAGTTTAAGTGAAAATGACAATTTTTCAAACATGAATTGTTCAGCATATTTTCTGTATCTAGTCTCCTAAATCTTGACATTCTATCAAGATTAAGATTGAATCTTTAAGATTCTATCAATCTTAAAACAAACCCATTGTGTCATAAAACAACATGTGTGACCTATTTTGAAAACTTCATCTTCAATATAGTGACATGGAGGCAGAAGTGAGTTGCTTCATGTTCCTTGCCTGGTTTTTGTGAGACAGGTTCCCACTGTGTAGCCCAGGCTGGCCTTGAACAGCGATCCTCCTGCCTCTGCCTCCCAGGTTTAAAGGCATCCGCCATTATACTAGGAAGTTCATTTTCTTATGAAGAATTTATGCAGAGAGACCATTGTTTCCTTTGTTGAGACATATATTTTAACTTGTTTGCCAAAATTGGGAAAAGGTAACAAAGAATAATAAATTGTTATGTTTTCAGATACCCAAAAAACCAACTTCTATACTGAATGCGCAAATCCCACCACAGCTCACCGGACATGCTCCAGTATCCTGGCATTCTCACAGATTGCTCCAAATCGTGCTCCACTAATCTGTTTTCCTCCTAACACTTTACTGAGACCACCTGCAAGTCCCAGGTAACTGTCCTGCACACACCTAACTCTAAAAGAAGCAGTTAACTGCCCTGCCCCGGCTCTGTAAGTCCCAATTAACTGCCCTGCATTCACCTAACTCTTCAAGTCCCAGTTAGCTGTCCTGCCTGGGCACCTGGTTTCTTCGGATAAAATCGACTCTGTCAACCCAAGGACGCCTGGCCATAGGATGCCGAAGGTTGGGTTGGGACTCCATTTTATCAGTCCCCTTGCCAAGGGCCGTGACCAGAACTGATGGATCCCTCAGGCAGGAGGCTGCTCCCGAAGCTGCCCGACTCCCCAGTAAGCCTTCAAAAGCCGCCAGCGCTGGCGGGTCCGATCCGCCCCGAACCGGCCATGGCTCCGGTCCAGCACCTCGGGGCCCCACACCCCGCACGCCTCAGGTCAGCTGCCCGGCGCCGCTGCCTCCCGCCGTCCGGCCTCTGAAGGGCGAACGCCGCGGGCAAAGCCAGCGGCCCGGTCAACCGCCGCCTGTACGGACCCACCGCCTAGGCCCGGTGTACCTGCTGCCCCGCTGCTCCTCCACTGCGTCGCTCTCACCGCGGGGCCGATGCCGGCAAAATGAGTGGCAGGTGGTTTGCAGCGGAGGTAAATCTTCCCTCGCCCCGCCCCGTTCCCACCCCTAGCCAATGGCAGCGCGGAGGACGAGAGCCCGGCCAATCAAGGCGACGTGGGGCGGGGAGCACGCGAGGAGGAAAAAGCTAGCCTGTTGGAGGCGACGCAATGCTCGCCTCCTGGCGCTTCAGGCCTTGGAGGCTTCCTGCCAGGCCTGCACGGGAGCGGCTGGGCTAGGCTTAGCGAAGACGTGGGTGGCAGATAGGGAGTTATTACTAAGGAAACTTGATCGGGTTGTAGATTCGATTTGTGGAAATGTCGCAGTGTTCAAATGGAGCCTGGTGGCGCAGGCCTGTGATCAAGCACCTGGAGGCAGAGGCCCGAGGGTTTCGAACTCAAGGCTAGCCTGGGCAACCTAGTGAGACCCTGTCGTCAAATAACATCCCAGAAGCCTTCGGGAGACAGGGCGGGTGGCTGTGAGATCGAGGCCAGCCAAGGCTATGTAGTGAGGCCTGTCTCAATAATAAATAACCATCCACATAACATTTGTCCTAAATAAGTTTGTCACCCTCTTGAAATTGGCTGTTTTAAGAGCAGGAAAGCCATCGTAGGTGGATCTCTGAGGTGTTTGATGCGGGCCTGGCCTGCATGCCTGCTGTGCCTGGCAAGCTCCAGGTCTGCCAGGGCTACATAATGAGGTCCTGCCTCATTAAAAAAAAAAAAAAAAAAAGTGGTTCTGTTATGGTAGTTGGGGGTTACAGCTTGTGCCCCAACCAGCCAGGTTCAGTCGCCCACCCTCAATAGGCCAACTAATAGAGCCGAATTAATAGATGTTAGAGGCAAAACTGGGGTCAAGAGACCAACATGAAGATTAAACTATCCTGGCAAGGCAAACTTCGCTTCTGCACAAAAGGGTACACAGCCACCGAAGCAGGAGTGCAAACACACCCAGCCAAAATGGTGTCTACCTTTTATCCCTAAAACAAGGGACACTCAGCTCTTCTGCCTGTGCCAAGGTCACCCTTACAATCTACTCCCCTTTCAGTAATCAGTTCAAAAGAACAAAGAAAGGGTACTTGACTTGGTTAACAAGCTAAGCATTCCAGGAAACTGCTGCTGTAAACAGGGCTAGGGACATTCCAGGAAGTTCATTACATCTGGTACTACAAATGCATATTTCTTAAACAAAGAAACCTGGGAGTGAGGACCTTGAGAAACAGATTATTAACTCTGTTTAACAGAAAAGACTAGATTTCTTACATAAAGAAAAGCAGAAAAGTGAAATTTATTCAATGTGACCACATTGGGAAGAGGGACAAAGAGATCCAATGACTCCCCCAAGTCAGTTTTTGGGGTCCTGACACGAGGGTAGGATTTAAATAAAAAGCAAGAGATAGGCATAACTGCTGGGTGTGGTGGTGCACGCCTTTAGTCCCAGCACTCAGGAGGCAGAGGCAGGCAGATCTCTGTGAGTTTGTGGTCAGCTTGGTCTACATAGGGAGTTCCAGTCCAGCTGGAGCTACAGGGAGACCCTGTCTCAAAAAGACGAGAGAGAGAGAGAGAGGGAGGGAGGGAGAGAGAGAGGGAGAGAGGAAGAGAGAAGAGAGAAGAGAGAAGAGAAACATAACAGTCGGGCAAGGTGTGGTTGCCTGCCTACAGTCTGCCTGGGGCTCAGCTCCTGGTCTCTCCTCCAAGGTCAGGCTCTCCTGCAAGGTCACCTGACAAGTTGTCTCTGAGAAGTGCCTCCTTTGCAAGCCCCAGGCCTTGTGTCATTTCCTCTCCCAGCTGGAGATTCCTGCAGAGATTCGACCTTCATTCTTTCAGTAGATGGCCAGAGAAGTGTCTTTTTACAATGAATAGCAGGAATCCTTTTTCTTCTCTAAATTGTTGTAGATACCCGCTATCTGAGATTGAGTTAGAGTTTGTGAAGCTTGATACTTAATGATATCCTCTGGGGTGTTATCCTGATTCACTAGACAGGTAGTGAATGGTTGAGCACCTGGTGAGGGAAATGCCAGAAACATAACCATTAACCAATGAGATAAACCCATCATCCTGGAGGGCAAAGCTGCCTACCTGTACTTTTTATTCCTGGACACAAGAGAAATGAGGCAGGGTCAGACAACCTATATTAGGTCATTGATTGAACATAATTATCCCAGCATACTCCCCAAATGTGGACCAGAGTTCTGCACATTTTCCTTTCATAATAAGGAGATGCTTTTTTTTAAAAAAAAAAAACATTATGTGTATGAGTATTTTGTCCCCGTGTGTAAGCATGCCCATGTTGTACAATACCTTTGGAGGCCAGAAGAAGGCATCGGATCCCCTGGAACTGCAGTTACAGACAACTGTTAGCTGCCTTGTGGATGCTGAGAACTGAATCCAGGTCCTCTGTAAGAGCAGCCAGGGTTCTTAAAAGCTGAGCCATCTCATCTCTCCAGCCCAAGAAGATGGTTCTCAAAACAATTCTCTCAGGGGCTAGAGAGATGGCTTAGCCACATTGGGTGGCTTACAACTGCCTGTAACTTCAGCTCCAGAGGATCTGACACCGTTTTCTGGCCTCCAAGGGCATGTGCATATACATTTACACATATACACATGCACACACACACACACACACACACACACACACACACATACACATAAAATAGAAACCTAAATCTTAACAATTCTTTCAGGAGTCGTTAATAGAATTTTCCAGGAGAATCTGTAAATGTAACCTTTGAAACTGTGATCAAATGTAGCAGAGATGGAAACAGCAATCTGGCTCAGCAGGAAAAGGCATGTGCCCCCAAGCCTGAAGACCTGAGTACCATCCCTGGGACCCAACTGGAAGAAGAAGTTGTCCTTTGACATGTCATGTGTGCAACACACAGACACAAACCCAATTTAAATATTTTGTTGATTATTTTTTATTATTTTATGTGTATAAGTGTATTGCTTGCCTGTAAATGCATCTGGGTCATACAGTGCTCAGGGAGGTCAGAAGAGGGTGTTGGATCCCCTCGGGAACTGGAGATGATGGTTTTTAGCAGCAATGTGGGGGAACTGAACCTCAGTCCTCTCCAACAGCTTAACCACTGAGTCATCTCTCCCTAAATATAAAAAAATTAAAAAATACAGCAGTCTTGTCAAATATTACAAAAGTTGTCCAAAATGTAAAGCAGGGCTGATTCTTGCACAATTTTATTGTTTTGGAGAATTTTTTTTGTGGTGCTATGGATCAAAACCAAGACCTCAAGGTAGACATGTTGGCACATGTCTTTAGTCCCAGCTCTCAGGAGGCAGAGGCAGGCAGATCTCTGAATTTGAGGATAGCCTGACTATATAGCATGTTCCAGGGCCACCAGTCCCTACATAGTGGAAACATGTCTCAAAACAATAACAAACAAATAAACAAAAAGCTGCCCTGCATGATTGTGTATACCTTTAATCCCAGCACTTGGGAGGCAGAGGCAGGTGGATCTTGGTGAGTTCAAGGCCAGCCTGGTCTACATAGCAAGTTCTAGGCCAGCTGTGGCTTCTACAGGGAGCTCCTGTCTCAAAAAGACCAAAACAAACAAACAAACAAAAACCCCAAAAGAAAGCCAAGGCCTCTCAAATTCTACAGAAGCTCTACAGTAACTACATTCTGGGTCACTGAGTATTTTTGTTATATTTTTTTAGACAGGGTCTCAATACATCCTAGGCTAGCCTCAAACTTCCAAGTCCTCCAGTCTCTGCATCAGTGTGTGGGAATTGATGGGCAATGCTAACACATCAGGCTTGAAGAATAATTCTGAATAAAACTGAAGGGTATATAGAGGGTTGCTAAGAATGGGATATGGTGTGGGGGCTCTGGATTGGCACATTGCTTGTCTAGTATGCATGAAACCCTGGGTTTGATCTCCAATACCACACAAACCAGATGTGGTTTAGGAAATAGTGTGGAAAAACAAGTCAGGAGTCAGGAATTGGATCAACAGCACAGACAGGTTTATTGGGGAAAACCTGAGAAGGGCTCAGGTTAGGAGGAGGAAAAAAGGGAAGGCATGGCTATGATGGTAGGTAGGTGGGTGGCTAAGTTCTTTTGCAGACAGGGTTGGTATCTTATAATAGGGTTGGGTCTCAGTATGTGGTACAATGTACCATGCTGTTCTGAAGTACTTAGGATGTTTGTAGAACACCATGTGCTTCTTGGAACCTCAAAAAAAAAAAAAAAAAAACCACAGAGCTAGGGATGTAGCTCAATGGTAGAGCAATGGATTAGCATGCATAAGGCTCTAAGCAAAACCCCCACCAATGTGAGAAAAAAAAAAAACAACAGAAGTACAAACTTGCCAAACTTGCCTTTAATTCTGGTACTTGGAAGACAGAGGTATTAAAATCTTTGTGAGTTCAAAGCCAGCCTGGTCTACATGATGAGTTCAGTTCTGCCCAAGCTAAGCTACATAGTGAAACCCTATTTTGTTTTGTTTTTTTTAAAAAAGGACATTCTTTTTTAAAAATTTTTTCTTTTTTGGTCTTTTTGAGACAGGTGTTCTGGAACTCACTATGTAGACCACGCTGGCCTTGAACTCATAGAGAGTGAGTTCAAGTAGATAAAAATAAATATAAAGGCAGTTGGGGCTACAGGGAGACCCTCTCCAAAAAAAAAATATATTTTTTTTCTTTATATATGTATATATGACATACACTATGTATAACAGTGGATATGTCCTATTCACTCTGTTTCTCTGGGAACTTTAAAAAAATTATGTAGAGGGAAGCCACACATGCCACAGGTACACATGTGGTCAGAGGGTCAGAGGACAAATATGTGGAGTCAGTTCTCTTTTTCCACCTTTACATGGGTCCTAGGGATTGAACTCAGGTCCCAGGCTTGGCAGCAAGCACCTTTCCCCACTGAGCCATCTCACTGACGATCTATAGGGAACACTGACTGATGCTAAACAGTTAAAATGTAATGGAAACTGTGTCCATTTTATAAATTAACTCAGGCTGATCTGAACTCTTATCATAGATAAATTCTG